GGAAAGGTCACTTATTTTTAATTTCTAAAATGAATAATTTCAGTGCTATTTCAACAGTTCGAGAAATTTCTCAACCGAATAAGAACACAACAAATAAGTATTTAAAGAACTGGAATCCCTTATTGAGGAATTTATGTGTTTTTGGATTAGAGATTAACCAGAAAGGATTTGGTTTTCTTGGAATTTTAGTGTTCATATTAATGAAAATAATGTTATTTTTTGATCTTTGTATATTTATTTTTATTGTTAGAAATATCTACAGTTTTATTATTTTATGTTACGCATTAATTTTTATTGGAGCAAAGATTAGTACTGTCACAAATTTCTCTCACTTTCATTTCAGCAAAGAAAAGCTTCTTAAGCAGCTGGATATAGTATTTCAAATATCGTCTAGTAGCGGAATAAATAGTACAAGATTGAACATAAATATCGGCTTAATTTGGCTTTATTTTCTTGTAAGTGGTATGATTAATGCTTACTCAAAAATCTTTGATAATAATTAAAATTTAGAACTCTTGGAAAACAAAACTTTTATTATTTGTATTTCTATTTTTACGGACATATTGCTTAATTTTTTGTTTATCATGCCACAGAATTTTCTGTTTATGTATTTTGATGCCATCTGCCAGGAGTTAGAAAATGCTTTCAAGCGACTGAATGAAAATGAACTGAAAAGAAATGACCAAAAAGAAAACATTTACCGTGCAATCTCAATAGCTAGCAAATTATAATTATGGAATGTATAAATGTTATTGAAAACATTTTCTCATTTACATTATTTATGTGGACGATATTAATTGTGGGATTCGTTACTGTGAGATAAGCAGTTGTCCACAGGGTTAATTCCCAAATGACCACTTACGTTGCACGGGCCGGTAAGGCCCGATCTCGCGGTCGTTGGATAGCTAGGAGGGCAAATCGAGTGGGGAGTTCGTAGGTAAGTCGGCAGATGTCCTTTATTGCTTAAATATTTCTTAAATTGCTCACGTAAAATTCGCACTACATTCAATTTGTTTTTTATACTGATCAAAAGATTAATCTTATAAAAATAATTTTAATTATAATCTGCATTTATTTATTTCCCATTGTTGCACAACAAAACAAACCTGAAAAGTCAGCATTAGCTAAATTCCAAATAATCATAAATGAAATCGCGATCAGTAACAATTTATATTTTGGGGGCGAAAAACAATTTTCTGGGCGATATAGTAAAACATTATATTAAGAATAATTAAATATTTTATTTGTTATATCGTACAATAATTAAACAAAAAACATTATACTAGTCACTAATCTATTCGATGCAGTACGAATTTGGCGTTAGCCTTGGCCCTCGGCATCGTGTTTTTGTAGTGAAGGAGGCGATACTACATAACGGTTTTATTGATGAGGGAGATACTACATTGAAGAAAATGACGATTCGTTACAGGTTGAGAAACACTGATCTAGGTCAATGCACTTATTAGTATTGATGATGTATATTTGATCCTATATATATGTTATTTGCACTACTGTAATAACAGTAGATTATGATAATCGATTATTACCCTATTATATAAACGAATATATACCTATTTTTTACGTATTTACGAAAGTACTGCAAAAACCGGAAGTAATGTGTTTCCCGATACATTCTTTGACTAGAAGCTTTTGATAAGACATCTTTTAGTCTAAGTAAATTCAAATACTATGAAACGTAGTGAAATTACAGCTAGAAGTGATGAAAATAACTTTTTCAAAACTTTGTTTACATTCTGACTTTGATCATGTGACTTTGAAAGCCATTAGTTCTTCGTAGGAAAATCCTAAACGGACAGTTCTACAAAAACGCACATTGGTTGATATCGTATCAGTCACAATAAAAATAACAAATTAGAGCGTTTTACGCTCTAATTTGTTATTTTTATTGTGCGTACAAACAAGAACTTGAAATCCAATTGACACCAAGAAAATTTTCCTCAGACTTACTGTAGTAAGGTGGAGTTTCCCAGGAATATTTATTGCTAAACAGATTTGAAAACATTTTTACTCGTCTAAATACTGTCAAAACTTTTCTTTACCGAATTATAGATCAAAAAGCAAACAAAACAAGCCATTTTATAGCGACTGTTTACATATTTACACAATCCTAGCTTCATAAGAATGGCATTTAGTGGAAATTTTAGTTTCAGTGTTTTCAAAGGTCGATGATTCATCGAACTATTATCTCAACAGATACAGAAATAAACCAATTACAATTTTATAAAATTTACTATTGATTTTATCAGCCAATAATTTGTCTCCTTACCGCTAATTGCTTTTACAATGATAGGGGACGGTCTTTCCTAAAATATTTATGGCTTGGGAGTGGTGACAAAACTCGCTTGATTTTAATGTTGATTCAGATCTCTCACTTCGTGATAAAGTTTCCGGTGGCATCAAAACGTAAAGAAATCAATAAATGCAATAGAGGTGATATAGGATGGTTTCTTCATGTATTATATGATGGCAAGAGCTGCTTGATTTTGTCACATACACGTACAACAGTTCTTTTAGAAAACCTATATACCTTTCGATAAATAGTTCGTTGTCAAACTTTTCAATATCATTGGATTGACAAATTAATCATCGTGGAATTCGAAAGTAATTTTGTATTATTTTGTTTTCATACGCGTATTCTGCTAAGTAAGATAAATTTTCCGCCATTTCCGTCCCCCCTATTTAATTAAACGTATATATAATCTAATCTGTTAATTAAAAAAACGATAATTTAAACGGGCCACTAATATTTCGGGAAAGACCGTCCCCTATGACATTAGAAACTACATTAAAAAACATTACCGAAGTCAAATCCGTGCATTAGAAGTTTAGAACGATTAAATAAATTTGATAAAAAAGACATCCTATTAAAAAACAATTAAGCGTTGATTGCACGTCAAGGTAATTATGTAATTACTAAAAAAATCGTAACTTGCAGTAAAAAAATAATTTCTGTTCACGATTTATGACTATCGCTATGCCATCTTTTAACGATAATTTAAACTAAAAACCAGTCAAAATTACTTTTTTCTTGTTAGCACATTGTACTGCAAATTTTATGTGTTTGCATTAAAACACTACAATATTTATACACACATTTTTATAACTTTTTTTTTATTAACCATTAATAAAAATATTAAAAAAATCATTTAACATAAAAAAAATTAAATAAAAAATGTTACTTGTAATTTGGTTCATAAAAATATTAACATTGAAAACTGTGTATTTTTACAAATTTTGAATTAAGTTGAATTACTTGTTGTGAGGATCCGAATTCGGATGTGTTTATATCATCTCATCATAATATCACATCGTAGTTCTACTTTCATTTCACGGTGTCATAAGATCACAGTACAGCTATACTTTTGTTCAATAACTGTCAACTTTTACACCTGGGAGCTAAGCATCTGCTAAGTTCTCAGGCGTAATAACGACGCTTTCTCATCACCTTTCGACTTAGTATAGCGATTTTAACAATTCAACATTAGGGAAGAACAACAAAGTGAGTCAGTCGTCGCCAGTTCTTCCTTGGGATTACGTCTACGAAAAATCTGTGCTCCTTGGGATACATACCTCTTCGCTTGTGACCACTATCCAAAAAATCGTCTAATATCAAGAATCACCTAATATCAAAGAAAAAGAACTATTGGATTATTGGACTTCCCGAACTTTCTGTCTTACCGACTGGGATCCAGATCAAGCTTTCAAACAAGGTAACTATCGACACGCGAACTTCTGTAAACTCTCTCTCTCAAAACGGGAAGAAACGTAATATCTTAATATCTTAATATTATTATATACTAAAGCGAGCAATGTATCTAATAGCAGCCCTAATGTATCTAACAGCAGCACTAATGTATATCCTATCGTTAACCATTAAACAGTTGTTACGTTAAAAAAGCGTCTGAGTAAATCACTTCCGGTGCGCTGTCTCTCCTTCTATCTCGACTCTGATCGCTCCGTTACGCGACCGCTCGCGTGACCTAAATAACGCGGCTTCCGTGTCCGCCGAGACGCGGTGGTGTCATCCTGACAGGGCACTAAAGAGGTGCCGACCCTTCGGTCACACTTGTTATTTTTAATTAAATAAACGGTGAAACAAAATTTACATATTAAATTTACATTGTCGCCATCTGGAGAACACAAAGCTAACTGTCTTTTAACTACACAAATAAAATATTTAATATACGGTATTATAAAAAATTAACTTAATAATATATTACAGAACAATAATTATAATGTGTTAACTGTATTTTTTATTCTAATAACTTTTTATTATTATTTACATAATAATAAAATTCATTTATTATTTTAATATATTTCAATTTAATTCATCATAAATTTTTAAGTAATAAGTAATAAATTTATTTACTAAAATAATACTTTTAAATAATGGAAAACATTTAATATTTCAAATTATTTTGATTTCTTAGATAGCTACTACGTCACCACAGGAAATAGAATGACGTCCCCATGTGTTTCCGCGGTTACATGACCTCTCACGTGACCAAAACAACACGTGCTTTTTGTTTACAATATTTTACACAATTATATTGTGTAAATTAATTAACAAAGTTGAATAAAAATGTAAAAAATTAATGAAAGCGATAAAGAACAAATATATAAGAAGACAAATTATTATAAGAACGAACAAAATAATAATAAAATTTACATAAGTGACTTTTATACATTGCATTTACGATTAAAATATAATAATAATCATCATAAATTACGAAAACTATAATAGAAATATGAAATAAACTAAATAAATTTGTTATATCACAAAAACTAACGTTAAAATGTAAAAAACAGACAGAAAAAGAGACTTTTACGTCAATACTAAAAATGACCTACATCTATCTAAAAAGTATGTTGATTAAAAAATCGAAAATGATAAATTTATTTAAAAATCAAATTCAAATCAAAGATAACTATGTAAAATAAAAACGGAAGTGTACGATGGCGATAACTGCTTACGTCTATCATGTATAGATCTCGAGAAATATAAAATTATAAAACGCCAGCATATCTTCATGCTGGTGAGTACCAGAAACAGGTTTTTGCACCAAAGTCAAAATAGGTCGCGCGTCTAAGAGGGTTAAAACATTTAATTTTAAAATTAAATAAACTTGAAGTCAAGAAATATAATTACTTGACTTGATAAATAACGTACTTGCAGATTCAGGAGCTTCCCTCTCAAATATTTCACAAGGTGCTTCCACATTTCCTTCGAGAACTATATTCTGTATCTACGATATATATTGTATTTATAAATATATATACATATATATATAGACTATATTTAATATACAAAAAATGAATTTATAAATAAAAAGGTATTACTTACATAATGTAATGGTTCAAGAGAACTTGTACTGCAAGCTCCAAGCTCGAATAAATTTTCTTTTTCCAAGCTAAATTCTTCGTTCCCAATTAATGATAAGACCTCCACCTGTTCTAAATATATCCTTTCTTAAAGCAGCCGCTTTATTTTTAGTTCGGGAACGCCACTGACTCCATCATTTTTTAATGGTTCCACTTCGATCAGTGGAACATTGGTTAGACAGTTGATGTTATCCTTAACTTCTTGCCATCCATCCCACAAAGTATTTTTGGAAATATTCCCGTCCAATTTCCCTTTAACTAAATATGGACGCTTTTGAAGCTCAATTATCAAAATTTCCATCTGTTCCGAGGATTACGTAAATCGAGACATTTTGTTGATTACCTCGTGCTGTACCACATGCTCCATATTTTCGTATTCTGCACTTTCGAAAATTGTACAATTTCATTGGCTAAAATTCTACACCGTGTTGCGCGCGCAGATAACCCGAACATGTATAATCAACCGAATAGAATCGTGACGTCAACGACAAACACGAGACTGTTTCGAACGACCAGAATCGCCACTTTGTATGAGAGACAACTTTCGTTTCTCGCTTTGACGTCACTCGTCGGTGAAAGAAGAGACGAGAGATAAGTGACCAGAATACCGCCTCGGGTGTGGTTGGTGCTCTGTAAAGCGCGTGCGCGAATCTGGCTTTTCGGATGCTGACGATACACCGCTTCCACTCCGCCACTAATATTCGAATATACAATAGCGATCTTTCCTTTTTTCTCACTTGTAGTATAGAAGTTTGTAATAAGATACGTAATGCGGTTATAATAAAATATTGTGCGATTATTTTCATATAATTAAAATTAATATGCATTTATTTTTTTAAAAATACAAGAGAAGCGGCGCATCCACCGCTTCCAATGACGGCATCCCACTGCAACAATACCATAAGAAACAAAAAAATTTATTTATTAAACAAACTTGCTCTGTATTCAACTATAATCAGTTGATATAAATAACTAAATATACTACTATACGACTGGTGATTATACATATTTGTTGTATAAATCTGTTGTCATTTTGAGAAAAAACAAAATGAAAATAAACAAAAAATCTGAAAAAGAAGAAAATCATTCTGTAAAAAGTAAATTAGTTTATATAAACCAATTAATATGTTTATTTGCCTATGCACAAACCCTTCATTCCATGTTATATAATATATTCTTGTTTGTTGCTTTGTTTATATAAATACAACACCAAATAATAGAAAATACGACAGGCACTAAGAATAAAGCATGAAACGCAGTTTGCACCGCAATTATAACAAGTATTTTAACAAATGCTTTATTCAAAACCATAGTTTTGTGCAAAACAATCAACACACCTATTCCGGTTGAGAATGCGCCCTGAAATATCGGGAAACCCACATTATATAAACTGTGCTGCAATCTACCATTTATGGTTTTATCTGACGAAGTGAGAAAAGAATAACATATGTGCGTAGGGTAATTAACACAAAACCCCATAGAAATTACTAAGCAAAACATGGAACCGATGTCCAAATCCACACCCCATATCGACATATAACCCAGAGTTTGTATCGTAATAGACGAAATACATAGAGCAACGACAACCGAATACAAAATATTTGGATTAAAGAAAATAAAAATAACAAGATTTATTAACGACGTTATCCAAAAAAATTGAAAGACCACTTCTCTAATAATGATACTTTGCTCAACCATAGGCGAAATCATAGTGTGAATAAGAATAGAGAAAGAAAATTTTTCTGCCATCATTCTTATATCTTTGATTAATTTCGACTCCATGCTTTTATCCGAAATATTTCTTGCTAAAAGAAAGAAACGACTGCAAATAATATCCGTATAATTATGATTAAATACGATATCATTCTCGTAATGTTTGGCTCCTGGAAATTTCAAAAAAACATTTCGTAAAGCATCGATAAAATCTTCTTTAGTGGATAAATCGTATCCCATAAAAGAATATTTTGCTGCTGAATGATGTTGAAAATCTTTGTAATACTTCAACCAAGAAATATCCATATCTGCCACGTTTGGATGAGACTGAAACTTCTTAATCATCTCGTCTAGTGACTTCTGAACAACTGTATTCGAATAATCCAATGTTTCGTTAATCACTATGTGAATACTAAATGGATATTCAGTAAAATATTTATAATATACTCGAAGTGATTGGGTGATCTCTGAATTTTCGGGATAAACACCAAAAACATCAAAACCTTCGTTCAAAGAAATAATGCCCCATATACTAAAAGATAAACTAACGACATAGACAAGTAAAATAATAATTTTGCTTGAAGAATAAAGAAGAAACGGCGCAAATTTGTCCTTGAAGAACTTCATGAAAACGTCTTCTTGCGTCTCTTCTTCATAATTATAAGTTATGCTGCGTTCTGAAAAATATTAAAATCACAATTAGACTATTGCATTTATTACGCGAAATGAAAGGAACTTAAATTTGACGAAACTAAAAAATTTTAAAATTTCTTATAAAAGTGAAAAATTCCAAACTGTTAAATTACTGGCCGTTTCATTATCATAATAATAGTTTTAAGTTTAATGTTTAGTAAATGACGTGCATCTAATACAATAAAGCAATGATGAGCAACTTCTGGCTCCGGCTCGCAAGTGAACCTTGTAAGCTTTTAACCTGTCGCTTTTTTTTTCAGATTTGCAGGCTTTAAACAGGCTAAATATAGAAAAACTCCACAATATACGGTACTATACGCTAATGAAATGCACTCTAGTAAATTGAGTTAATTTTCTTGTCTTCATTGGCCATGAAATAAGTTTAAGTGGTTTTTGTCGTGGATATCAGTATAATCAGCATTTCATAATGGCTTCAGACAGAATTGAAAAAAATAAAATTACGCATCTAAAGTGACTACGTCACACTTATTAAGATTTTACTTAATGCGAATTGCTCATAGCGACAATAAAGTGTAATGAAATATAATGTAATTAAAGAAATGATGTAGAAATTTAAAGTGGGACCGCAGAGAAATACTTCTTTCAAATCCATTTTGATGTTATATAGGTATGAATTTTCGTCATGACGGTTTAAATAGACAAAAGCATACCAAACAGTTTCTGCGCCTCAGGGAAACTTCATAACTAGCGCTCTCGTTGATTCGAATTCAAGGCACCCACGTAATTAACTTATAAATTAGTGATAGATTCATTATAATATCAACTTTTCAATGACTTAGTTGCAGCGGTGAAAAACTACAGGGGGCGAGTGGGTAAACCAGTGTTCATTTCACTTCCTTTAGTTATGCCACTGCAAGTAAGGCATCCATGCCAAAACCTTCTGATTGTCAGTCAGATCAATCTCTAACATTGTATTAGTGTGTGAATATATCAATTCGCTTTTAATCCCTTTTTAAATATATCAATGTAATAAAACGTACTCTTACAATACCTAGACCAGGGTGTCCAACCTTTTTGTTTCTCTGGGCCGCATTGGAAAAAGTCAACGAGTTTTGGGCCACAAGTATATATAATATATACTTGTGGCCCAATATACAAGCATATTTAAGGATTAACATGACTAGATTATTGATTCAGTAAATGTCTCTTCAATCCGAAAAATTCTTTTCGGTAGACTACCTCACAGCCAATTCAGGTTATAATTCCTTTTATTGCTTTTTACAGATGCATTTCGAGCTAGGTTAATTTATTAGCATCTCCTCAGTGCTACAAAATAAATTAAATTTTAAAAAATAGATAAAAAAAAAAACAATTCGGGTAGATGATGTTACAACAAAAATAAAACCTGTCTTTAATTTTATGAAAAAATAATCTCCATCGGACGAAAAAATGTACAGATGAAAATCTACAAATATCGTCACCAGGGGGCAGCTTTCATTAATAAATGGTGGTCCTCTATTGGGCAGACTGTCTTCAATTTTATAAAAAATAAAATCATATTTTATAATACCTTTTAAGAGTTTCCATGAGTTTCTAATTTTTTTCAAACTTATACGGTACTTTTTAGTTCCGTTTACAATATTTTTACCAGCGTATGCAATTATTCAAATGGTTTTTATCTTGTATCGTACAAAAGGTCTGCATGCTACCTTATACAAATTATAACGTATAGTGACTTTTTACAAATGTTTAAACGAAAATTTTTTTATAAAAAACTAAACAAATTAAAATACATACTGATTTCTTTCTAATTAAATTACTTTAAGAACTTGTATCTCGTTACATCATAAAATTTTTATTAAAAAATTTTCGTTTAGACATTTGTAAAAAGTCACTATACGTTATAATTTGTATGTCATAAGGTAGCAAGCAGACATTTTATACGATACAAGATAAAAACCCTTTGAATAATTGCATACGCTGGTAAAAATATTGTAAACGGGACTAAAAAGCACCGCATAAGTGTGAAAAAAATTAGAAATTCATGGTAACCCTTAAAAGGTATTATAAAATATGGTTTTATTTTTCTTGTAACATCATCTACCCGAATTGTTTTTTTATCAATTTTTTAAAATTTAATTTATTTTGTAGCACTGAGGAGAAGCTAATAAATTAACTTAGCTCGAAATGCATCTGTAAAAAGCAATAAAAGGAATTATAACCTGAATTGGCTGTGAGGTACTCTACCGAAAAGAATTTTTCGGATTGAAGAGACATTTACTGAATCAACATTAGAAACAGCTAAACCCTCGGAAAAAAATGTCTAGATTATAATAATAAGTATTAAAACTTTCTAACGAAACAGGATATTTTAAAAAATTACTTCTACAGACTCTTTTAATTTTTACTTAGAAATAGATAAACTTATTTATTTGAAAAAATGCAAATATTTGGTTTATTTGAGTCTCTGATTAATAAAATGCGACGAAACACCATTTTAAAGTGCATTTTTATTCAACTAATATACTTATAAATGATATGTAGCCCAAAAAGTAGCCAAAGCGCCAGATGATATTTTTTTACGTCAAACTAAAAAATTAGCAACATTTGGCGTAATATAGCCAAATCTTGCAATGCTGGAAGAAATACTAGATAAAGCTGGAGTTGTGCCTCATAGGATTATAGAGCCAAATGCGGAAAAAGAAGAGAAAGGACAAAAGAAAAAAAGTGAGAAAGGTTGGAAAATTAAGACTCAATATTTGCCTAACAGAAGAACTATTTAACCTTTCTGACAACTTTTTATCTTTTATCATTTCTCTCCTTTCACCAAATTTGGGTCTGTAGCAGTGTTGCCGTTCCTAGTACATTTGTACTTTTCTGGTACATTTTGCCCTTTCCAGTAAATTGAAAGTACATTTAGATTTTTAGTACATTTTCAGTACATTGTAATATTTCAAGTACCATTTACGGTACAAAATAATATTTCACGCCTTAACGAAAAAATGAGAAAAATTAGTTTAATAAAGTCTCACTAGTGTCACTGCTTGCTAATTTAAATTATCCAATCACAAAATGGAGTGCGTCCGTCGACGTCAGCAACATAGATAGTTGCACGTGTAAACGGTCTTGACTCAGTGGTCTTCCTTCATACGTTCATTTGTCTGCACATTCTCATCAGGACCTTGAAAAAATTTTTCATGCCACGTGGTTCAAACAATTCAACTCCGTCAAAAAACAATAATGGACAGGTAAGGAAATCAATGATTTTAAACTTTTGTCGTCAATAATATCAAAATAGCCGTTAAGTCAGAAACAAATTATTACAGAAAATAGTTTTGAAATTGTACGAGTATAAATATTATAAATACTTTTGTATTATTTTCTACCACTATAATTTAATTCTTAAATTATGAACTTCAATTTTAGTAATCGTAGTAAAAGAAATAAGGGTTAATGTTACGTATGGTTCCAAAATGGCCGCGCTTCTGACTGTTCCAAGGTCTATATAAGAAGATCAGGACACGCGTGATCTACTTCTTGAGCTGCCATTTTGGGGTTTTTGAGTTGCATGTTTTAAGCAAACTTGTACGAGCAGTCAGTTTTATATGACATTAATTAAACTAAAATTGCATAAATCATGTAATTTCCAGTCAAAAATATAATAATAATTTCGGACGATTATGCAACCCCAATTTTATGTAACGTTTTCATCAAATAGTTTAAAAAATCAAGCATCCTTATCTTTTGCTGTTATTATTGAAATTAATTAAATAGGTACTAAAACTGATGCAATTACGTATATACCACTTCGTAAAGTGATGCAATAACATCAAAAATATTTAAAGTATAATAAAGAATAAAATAATATAATATAACAAATTTATAATTATTTTTTTAAAGCACGGTTGGTTATAAAATTAAGAAGAAATTCAATAGTATTATTAATAAATGTCGTCAATGTAATGCTCATTTTATAATAAGTAATCGATGTGTAGATATATTTTTAATTTTAAATAGTTTTCAAAAAATTCCAAAAATAAGATTTAAAATTAAATTATTTGACAAAAAAACTATATATATATATAAATTACGTGCCTATATATATATAGGCACGTAAACAAAGTATTCATAGAACTAGTACATTTTGAAGGAAAATAGTACATTTTTTGAAGGCGCTTCAGTACGTTTTGAAATTTCATTGCGGCAACGGTGGTCTGTAGATCTTTGAGTCACAACTCCAGCTTTATTCAGTAATCCTTCCTCATTCACACATCTACAAGTACTGTACATGAAAATATTTCATTTCCACTCAAAACTAAAATATGAAAAAAGTTTTATGGCGTTATGAAACTTCTTTCCTAAGTTTATCTCGTTGAAATAAATAAATAATAATAAAATTAAAACATTTGTCGGTTTTGTTTACACTTTTATTAAGCCGTATTGGAACTTGCGTTGGGCCGCATGCGGCTCGCGGGCCGCAAGTTGGACACCCCTGACCTAGACTAAATTTTTCTTAGTAGGATTACTATATTTTTGAAAACTTTAATGTTTGATTTGTGTAATTATACGTTAGTTCACATATAAAGTATTAAAGATTTCAAGTGCACGATTTCGTGTAGCATCCCAGCAGTATTTATTAATTTTATGACTTAGACTTATCACAACCAACTTACAGACACATTAACGAAGCGTGAAATACGGAATGAAAATTTACTAATATATTTTATAATGAAAGCCGCTTCTATTTACTTTTTTACTCTTTTTCCGGTTGCTTTTAAATCAAAAACATTATAACGTGTAAATGAAATAAATTTTAAAAATTATATAATAAACTTTTCGTCACCTGAAACAGATTTACAAGAAATGGGATTAAGCCCTTTCTCTTCTCTGTATCCACTCAAAGCCAGACAACCTCCGAAAAACGTCAGCTGAAAGAAATACGTAAAACAGATGCAGGTAGCAGCATAATAGCCGAATATTCTAATTACTGGAAATGGACAGTTCATTGCAATACAATAAGAACAAAAGTTGGTTAACGAAGTTATAGTTATGGATACTGCTGCATTCGAATACGTATCCTCCATTCGCTTTTCAACAGAATCACGAGTATTAGTTGTTCTCCAACACGCGATCACTACGAAAGAATCGTCCACTTCTGTTACTGAAAAACAATTTCAAAATATTAGTCACAAAATAAACGTACACATTATATAACGTATTATATTACCTACCCAGAATTGCAAATGGGAGAGCAACGTTATAATATGTGCTTTCTACTCCGCAAGCAAATAGTAATCCAAACGAGGAAGCTACAGCCATTCCGGCTGACATGACACTAGCTACACCCATCCACGGTTTGCTTCTAATCCAACTATTAGTCATGTTACTCAGCATGCTGAAGAGACATACCACGATTATAGTGACGCTTATAAATGGTATTATCTCCTGCAAATCTGACATAACATGAGCATCCGTCGAAGCGAATGGCTCGAGGAAAGTATCAATATACTTAAAATTGCTTTCCTTTATTTTTCTGTGAAGAGCTTTACTCCAAGCTTTAGTCCAGTCTGTTTTACTTGTGTTACTATAGTCCAATGGATAAAATAAACGCATGGCGTATACTTCTTCTACATAATCGTTACTGTCAACGATCACACCTCCTAAATTCAATAACATTATCTTATATGAAAACGTTAAAGGATCGATATCTATGGGATACTTGAATTTCCGTCTCTTAGAAACCACATCATCCGAATGATTTAACAAAGTAGAAATAGGATTTTCGAAACATTTTTCATATACCCGTCCACAAACATCGTTGTAACCAATTTGTCTTTTATCAACATGAACCGTGACGTTATTTGCTATTTCGCTTATCATTTTAACTTCGAGTAAAACATTTTTCTGTAACATGTTTTTATCTTTTTTGTGTTTTATGTAGATCATAGGTGTGACTGGACGATGAGTTATCCTTTGTAAATCGTAAAATTCTGAAGTGTTCATTGGAAATGTTTTGTCTATGAATTGTCGAATTTCAAAAATATTTCCTCTGTCAGCAGATAACAAGTAATTGTTATCATCAATATATTTCATGTTGAACAATCCAACAGATAGTAAGGCACTAAAAATGGAAGGCACAAAGATGAAGTAATACGGATGCTGTGCGATGTTTCTTCCAAGTTTGCCAAAACACTTGCATAGACTTTTACTTAAACATGAAAACTTTAAGTTTCTCTCCATGTTTTAACGTTATGCTAAAAATATAATAATTTTTTGACAATTTATTAAATTAGCAGTTTATTTAAAATTATAAATTAGAATAAATTATATTATTGAAAAATACTTTCAATTTATTTTATCCGGGTTTGATTCAAAAACTTTGGAAAATATTAATATCTGTTGTTACATATTTCAGTAAATTTGTTACTCCAAAATTTGCATTTGATTTTAATTCAAAAAAGAAGTATTCATTCAATAGTTTAGAAAAATTCCTAAATTTATCATTTAATGCTGCTTTATACGTTTAACTATAAAAACATTTAACCTGTGATAAAAAAATTATCAAAAAACATCACGATAAATTACAAAAATAACAATATAGTTGTACTGAAAGTTGTATCTTGTTTCTTTAATTGTTCTTTCTGCTTGAAGCCGTTCTTTTCTGGTAAAAAAAAGTCTAACTTTTGTGTTTTTCAATTTTTAGTCAAAGTATTTTCGATAAAATCCAGTACTGTGACGTAGCATTCCAACAGAACAACAGTGACATCTTTTGTTTACTTCCTACTTTAATGTTACTAAATATTTAAATGTTCTCTTTTAAAGAAAATTACTGTTGCTTTTGGTATTCTCGATTTTTTTTCGTAAATTAACAACAAGTAAACTGTAGGGTAATCACATCAAAACGAAACTATAATCAAAGATTAAAATTAGTGTTGACAGTTGAAACCGACATTTTATTTATTCTTTCCGGATTGTTTGACATAATACCCATTATTTACTAATAATGGATAATGTATGCATTTATATATTTTGTTATAATGAAAGTATTCTTTCGCAAAAGACAGAATTTTTAATACGTTAAATCGAAATGTTTGTCATGGCGATATTGGTTATACCAAAAATTTCGTTAAAGTGGAGATACTGACATTTCATTGTAATACTTTCATAAATATAGAATTATGTGATAAGTAATACATTATCAATTCTACAAAAAAATAGAATAAGTAGATCAGTATATATGTTACCGCTAAAGCTCGAAACTCGTTAATCTGCAGATTACCTAGCGTGATCCGTTAAAGTTGTGAAAATTGTTCCGTTTCTTAAATTACCTAGATAATGTGCAGAGTATCTAGGTAATCCGCACATTACCTACTAGGCACTCGGTAAAGTGAAAATAAGATTTTTGCCACAAATAAATGTACCACAAATAGGTGTGCTTGTCACAGAAACCAATTATGAAATTCAAAGTGTCACCAATTTTTAGACTGAACAATTGGATAATGTTACCTACAGGGTTGTGCCGTGCTATGATGCAGAGATGCGGCCGCATCAGGCTGCACCGTGAGGGGGCGACATAAAAAACATTTAAGGGGTAGAATTTCAAAGACTTGCATCATACAAAATCTACCGCACGGCCCTGGTAAGATACACCAAATAATAACAATTATAGCCTATATATCTATGGTGAGTAAAATGGCGGCTCGTCTCTGATTCCAGCAAACAGAAGAAAGGAAACAGTAGGGACGCACGTTCTGTCCTAACCTAAGCTATTTTAATAAAATACCATAATTATTACCAACCAAATTATTACAATAGGTTAGGTTAGGTTTTAACGTGCGTCCCCATTGTTTCCTTTCTTCTCTTTGCTGGAATCAAAGACAAGCCGCCATTTTACCCACCATAGGTAACCAGGGCCGTGCGGTAGATTTTCTAAGTATGATGCAAGTCTTCGAAATGCCGCCCCTTATATGTTTTTTTTGCCGTCCCTTATATAAATTATTAGTCTTTTAACTGCACAATTACATTATGCGATCACCAGAAAAAGTATGATAACTTTATTATTTTTCGTCTCCGGTTCAAAAGTAGGGTATCGTTGAAGTCTCCTCAGTTCAGATAGATACTCAAAGTCCCGAAATTCCATATGTGGTTATCTATATAATAATTTCCCTAATTGTATTAATATTTTAAACTGTTTGACTTTTTGTATGTTTTTTAATTGGTTGATGATTGATTCTATCAACTAATTTGTCGATTGTTTGATTGTATTAACTTGATTCCTTAGATATCGAAAATTAAATAAAGAACATTATGTTAATTTAAGCGTACAGAAAGAAACGTTGCTGTTGTTTCAGCGAAGATCTTATTTTCACTTTACTGAGTGCCTAATAGGTAATTTGCAGATTACCTAGATAATCTGCACATTACCTAGGTAATTTGAGAAATAAAACAATTTTAGCAACTTTAACGGATCACGCTAGTGAATCTGCAGATTAACGAGTTTCCGAGCTTCAGCGGTAACATATACATAAAATTTCGTAAGAACTTTGCATTATTTGCAATGTCGGGTAGCGCGTGCTTTTTTACTTACGTTTATTACAATGCAAAATTTTATCTTGTTCTTTCTTATGTAACAACACTTCTTAAGGTCATCTTCCTGCTCAGTTTAATATATCCTTATTTCAATATTTAATTAACCAAATTTAAAAGCCTATCTGGAGAGTATATATGTTTTCAGGAATCGTTTACTTTATCGTGTTATAAATGTGTACGTATTCCTGATGTCTAACGAAATCATTCTAATATCTTCAGGTATTTTTATTAAATTCGTTCACAGACACAATACATTTGTACTGTTTATCGTATACTTAGAATTATTATATAAATTCAAATACATTTAATAGATAATTTTTAACTATACAAAAATACTACTACATATCAGTTAAGAGTATATATTCCATTTGATATTTGTATGCTTTAGCCCTCAATGCGAATTTAGAATCTCATTTAGAAAAATCAGAAAAAAATTATATTTATCAAAATTTATTACACTTTTTTTAAGTTCATAATTTTAGAGGTAACCTTTATTTTTTTATCTTTTTACTTTCTTTGCTGTTACATATGAGTATCAATAATTCGATAAACTTTGAGGTATATTTTATTTTAAACATAAGAATTATGTATTTTTTTCTTCAAATTTATTTAATTTTTTATCATATCATCAAGAACATTAAAAATATCATAAAGTATATTGATTAATAAACTATGTGAATTATCATCAAAATATTTTTGATCTAAGTTTTGGAATTTTAACACCAATTTTATTAAACATAAATTAAATCTCCGTTCAGTATTTGATAACGCGAAACAAAATTCTAATGATAATCTTTTAGTTTACGTGAAGTGTCGTTTTTAATTGTTGATATTTTAAAACTATTCTCGTATCTATTATGTTATCAAAATCAAATAAAAATTAATAACAGAATCTTTACTATAATAAATATTGGTATATAATAAAGTATTATCATTTCAGATAATAACAATTGAATATCATATAGGTTTATGAATTTGAATAGCTTTACTAAAACTTTAATTTCTATTCACCGTGTTACAAGAAACTTCTAAAATTGATTCAAAATCTGCATATACAGATAGAATGAAACATAGTATTTGTTTTTTCTCCTGTTTGAGTACAAATTGTTTGTTATCTATATCTGTATATATATAAAAATGGACAAGTATGTCCCTATATCTCACTTTTCCGTCAAAACTACACATCGCACGTGAATGGTGTTTGTATGTGGTAGTATCCCCAAGTCTCCATTCGTGCACCAGGGGGTTGCGTCTCGATAGCTATAAGGGTGCGGGAGATATGGGGCTGAAAGTGGTTAAAAGTGGCTTTCTATTTCGAATGTTTTGTTCGAATTTGTTCGAATTTAATTCGAACAATATTCGAATTAAATTCGAACATAAAATTCGAATTCTATAAAAGAACCAATATTCGAAAATTCGAATATTGGTTCGATTATAGAACGATTGTAAACGTTCCAGAAACGTTGAAAATAGTTCGTTTGACTTGACGTGAACAGGAGACGTTCAGAAATAGAATCGGGACCAGATCTCTAATTAGTCTGGAAACAGGGGACCTAATTCTTGCATTCTGCGAAAACGGATGAGGTTGGCTATAATGTAATTATCTTAATCTTCACTATCGTTACTTTTTAAAAACCCAGTGAAGCGGGTCCTTGCAGCTAGTATAATAATAAATTAATTTATTTTTTAATTTGTTATTTACTCATATAAATCGTATAAATTAATTTGTTTCATATCCAAATATATAAATTGTTAAATAATCATTCTTTCAAAGGATGGAATATTTTCTAATATTTACAGGAAAAGTTTTAAGGAATTTGTATTAAAATATTAAAAAGATTGTATGAGTAAATTGCATTTTTTTGTGTATTTAAGTACATAACAGCTAAAGAAATTTAAAAATCTTTTGTAAAAACTCGAATAAAACTATTAGTAAGTTTTTTTCAATACAGGACTGTTAAGACATCAACATTACAGAATTGAAAGTAAAAATATGTAGTGACAACATATCTTAAACAATATATATCTCTCCCCATTTTACAATAAAAATTGTATTTTAAGCATCGGGATAGATGTAATATCATTTGATCATTATACCTTTCACTTTTAATTTCTTACAGATTTCTTGATATTATCATCATGTTTTCATACGGATATTTATTATTATACAAGAGGAAACAATATTCTGATACTTACTTAATGCAAGGTGTTTGCAATAAAACATATCCTTGCCTAAAACAGGCAGGGAATAAAGCGGCATTATTAAAATTACCACAATATAAAAAATATGAATGTAAATTTTTTGTAGTAAGTAATAAGATAACAATACGGTTGTGCGATAAAATTTTGTAAACTGTAATTGTATTAATCGTAATAAATAAATACTTTCATAGAAATTGTACTAAAAAATGCTAATCGATATTTTTTGTAAAATCAATATTGTATCTTCTATTAAAGTGTGTGCTGTCTTTTATAGGTATAAAAATAATAAATATATATATATACACTAATACGGATTTTTATCTTATAGAATAAAAATACTTTATATAAGTTAATTGGGCAATGTTATCAAGTTTACCAATAGACGAAAATAGTATTTCATGTTTAAAAAATTATGTCAATTGGAATGTTGTAAATTAGAGAAGTAATTTAACTATTTAGAGTTCATTTCTGAATCCACAAATAATCTAAACTGGGAATTAATATGGAGAAAGTATACATTTCCTACTTCATTCTTAGAAAAACATATCAGACACACAAAATGGAATTTAATTTGTGAACATAAAGTATTAGACTAAAAATTCATGAATCGTTTTTCAAAATATATCGAATAGAATAATTTAAGAAAATTTCAAATTGTCTAAGATAAATTTGTTAAGAAGTATGTACCTAAACTGGCGGTTACTTTCGTTACTCGGCCAAAGAGTAACGAAAGCGAAGATTAAGATTATTACATTATAGCCAATCTTACCTGTTTTCACATAATTCAAGAATTAGGTCCTCCTGTTACCAGACTAATTATAAAATTTTTAGATGGGTCTGAAAATATGTTCGATTTCTGGCAAAAAAAAAAACTAAATCTGCGCCTGTAAATCTTGCACGTCGCTTTCTCTTCACACTTTCATTGTTACTTAACACTTTCATTCTTAACATTTCCATTGTTAACAATGGACGTGTTAAGAATGGAAGTATTAAGAATTTCTTTTTGCGGGGGGAATTTTCGAAAATCTTCTTCTTAGTGTGTGTACATTCTCGTGACGTACCTTAACTGTGTACCAAATTTCAACTATCAACTCCTAACCGTTTGGGCTCTACGGTTATTATTATTATTATTATCAACCCATGTCGATTATATATGTAGATTAGATAGTAAAATAGTTTTAAAATATCAACGATTAAAAACGACACTGTACGAAAACTAAGAAATTTCCATTAGAATATATTAGAATTAAACTAAAAGATTACATTGGAATTTAGTTTCCTGTTATCAAATAGTAAATGAAGATTTAATTCATGATTTATACATAATCTTAGTTATATTTTAAAATACCAAAAACTATATCAGAAATATTTCAATGATAATTCAGATAGTTTATTAGTTAATACACTTCATGATATATGTAACGTTTTTCTTATATGATAGAAAAATTAAATAAACTTGAAGAAGCAAAATGTTTATAATGAAATATATCCCCAAAGAGTGTTGAATCACTATTACTCATATGACAGGAAAAGTATGGTTATCGCTCAAGAAATGATGACCAAGATTTTCACATTTTTGGACTTGGAAACTTGAAACTTTTCAAAATGCAGAAAAATACAAGATTTTTTCTGTATATATGAATGTTAGTGTAAGTGGGGCACGAATGTGTTCACCCAGTTTGAAGCTTAATAACGCCTATATGTTTTGTCGAAATTTTCGGGAATTTTACAGAGAGATTGTCTTGTTAAGGAGATTGATGGTACTAAATTTTGCTAGTTATATATAAAATATGAGGGGAAAGAAGTGTCGTGTGTCATATCATGAGTATGGTCAGACTTAATGAAGTGTTTAATGATATTATTGTTTATTTTATAAATAAAGCTTATGTCTACACACAAAGTTAAGTATCTTGCCATTTTATAACAATTCAATTTTATATGTTGTTATGCAACTCTTTGCTGAATTTTTTACTCGGTTATTATTAAGTCTATCATCCGTACTATTATTCAATGTCTAATATCGAGTTATTGTTTCTTATATCCATTCATATTATTTGTTTAGATTTATCAGATTAATTGTAATTTATTTCATTCAGAAACACATTGGCCCTTTTTCTAATAGTTTGATTATTAGAATTACACATATATTAATAAGCATAATAAATATAATTGTATATGTGGTGCCAGGTGTTATCAACTTTTGTTACAAAAACTACGTGTGTTTGAATTACTATAGAATGACATAAAAGTTAATTTTGAGGGAAATGATGAGTTTTTTTTAAAGAATAAAAAACTGGAAATGCTAACAACAAAGGAAATTTTCAGAAAGTCTAAATCCACGCCAGATAAAACATGTGATCACGCTCTATCTTTCTATCTTTTCTGTCTTTTACAATCAAAATTTAATAGTATCAATGCCTCTTACACATAAACTGCTATATTAAATTTAGTTTCTTAATCTTCGCACTCTCCTGAGATATTAAAATAAGTAACGGCATGGAAATAGAGGGCAAGTCGTCGAATATTGTGTGAAATAAAAACTCGTGACAAAATAAATGTCAGTCAATTGATGATGCAAGAAAAGGAAAACTTATAGCTTGTGTAACTAAAATGTATAAATATATTTATGGTGCAGTCTTTTTCTCGTTTAGAAAAATTATTTAAAGTACTCTTTTAAAAATATTAAAATTTCAAAGGGTAAAAAATAAATAACTATTTATTTATTTCAAGTGTAACTGCTTTTAATCAGAGAGAAAAATAATACAAATGATTTTTAAGCGTTAGTATTTTTTAACTTTACTATGCATTTCGGGTGCAAATTTGTTTTTTTTTTTTGGACAACCCTCTTATAGTAAGTACAAGGCTAAAAGGGCTAAAACATTTTTTTACAGAGGAGTTTACATCAACGAAATTAAGCCTGCCAAGATATAGGCCCTATTTCATCAATACTACAAAAAAGAGACATTTGGGAAAGGAAAAACAGATAATAAAATCTGCAATAAGAAAAAATCGGTCCTTGTGGTAACGGACGAATTTATAGAACTAACAGAAAACCCAATAGAAAAAATAAAGAAATGGAATAAGTATGGGCACAGTAATTAGCCCGAAACTTGCAGAAATATATACAGTAGAACCTCGATTATCCGGACTAATTGGGGATGAAGGTAGTCCGGATAAGGAAAAATTCGGATAATCGAAACAAATACTTTAATTTGTCTTTTAATGATAATACAACACGTTTCTTTTTCGATGATATATCGGTAATATTAAAAATAAATACTGTATTTAAATCCTGATTAAATTTTCAAGAAACAAATGTTTGTATTGAATTTGGACTACTACTGACAAGCGCTAACAGACTACCTATTGTTTAAAAGGTCCTCTGGTGGCACAAGAAAACGGATTTTATAAAATAAAAAGCAGTTGATACTGCATTTTTATGAATAAAATTTGACAAACTATTTATCGTTTTATGACGAGTAAAATTTTTTCGTCGCGTTCGCGGCTTTTAAATAATGCATAAACCTTCGAAACGCGAAGCTCTTCGGACCGCGAGGCATAGGCGGTGGCCCACATCGCCCATGCCTTACGCCGCCCATGGTCATAGAAATGATGTAATTTGAATATAAATTATTTATAAATACGTATGTCAAGTTATATTTTTATTTCGACGTAAAATATATTTAANTTACGCCGCCCTTGGTCATAGAAATGATGTAATTTGAATATAAATTATTTATAAATACGTATGTCAAGTTATATTTTTATTTCGACGTAAAATATATTTAAGTGTTTACGACTACTGTGCTGGGTGAGACGTTGTTGAAACAAAAAAGTTATGCATTCCATTAGGTACATAAACAGTGACGTAATTCAGCAAGTGCAAATTAGTAAATTCGTAAAATTTTTTATTTTGAACAACCCGGATAATCGAAAATCCGGGTAATAGAGGTCCGGATAATCGAGGTTTTACTGTATGTTATATATGTATGAGATATAGATAAAAAGTTAGCAAAATTAAATGAAATAATATTTATAGCAAGATATGTGGAAGATGATATAATAATATAGGNTAATAGAGGTCCGGATAATCGAGGTTTTACTGTATGTTATATATGTATGAGATATAGATAAAAAGTTAGCAAAATTAAATGAAATAATATTTATAGCAAGATATGTGGAAGATGATATAATAATATAGGATACGTTAATAACTAATAATAACGGAATCCGTATTTATGAAAATACTTTAAGTGAAAATTTAAAATTTAAATGTGAAATAGAAAATAGAAACGAGATTAATTATTTAGATGTAACTATAAACCGCGGTAATAATGTAATTAATGTAAAATCATCTAAAAATGTTGTAGTACAAATAAACCTTTAAATTATAATTCGTATTTTCTTCTAGTAATAAAAAGAAATATTTTTGTGACGGCATTATCTAAAATATGGATAAAAACGACTAAAGTAGAAGATAGAGAAAAGAACAAAGTGAGTTAATAAACAAATTTATACTAAACAACTACCCAAGTAGATTATTAAAGGTCAGTTTGTATATTTTATTTATTTATTTATTTAATATGCATACTGGATACACTCCTTGATGCGGGGAGCAATACCATCTACCCCCCAAAAAAAGAAAAGTTTAGACACAATGAACATAAGATCACAAAAAAATTATACAATAATAAATTAGATAAATTATAATTTAAATTAAGGTAAGGTTTAAAATTAAAATATAATAATTGATTAACTTTAAATATAAAGTTTGGGAGCATCTGTCAATAAAATACAAATACAACCAATAAAAATCAATCAATCTTTAAAGCCCAACCACAGAATCAGATAAAATTACAATATCGTCTGTGTAGAATCCAAGGAACCAAATAAATTAAAACAAGTGATGAAAGCAATCATCAATGAAGCAGAAATTACGAGACTGAGCCTGCTTAACATGACAGAAATAATTCCAAAAAAGTCTATTATCTTTCCTAAAACAATTCTGAATTTTACCAACAAATAATTTTTTTCGCGATACCAAACCGCTTCACCAAGCTTCGTAACATAACAAAACGCAAACGATCATTAGAATCATTGCTTTTCCTAAATGATCTTCAGGCTCTATTTCTAGCGCTAATAATCCTACAGTCCGAATCGAACCATGAAAAAGAATTCTTATGTCTCCTGATATTAAATCCCCACTACAAGCCAAACTAAAAAGATAATAACTCAGGTCTTCCATCGAATCAAACTTATTCGAGACACGTATCTCCTCCACAGCCAACATTAATTCATCCTTTCTAGATTTGTCCCAAAACTATATATTAATCCACTGCGCGTCTTCTCTAAAGAAACAGATGTATCATTGCCACAGGCCAATCGTAAAATCAATGGGTTATGGTCGGAATGCAAAAACTGATCCATCGTAAGCGAGAGAATATCTTTCCAAATAAACTGAGAAACTATGACTAAATCAATAACCCAACAATCACGATTGGAGATAAAAAAATATTCACACGCCTCATCACCTAAACATTAAATCTTCACATAAATAAAGCAACTTCCTACCACTACAATCAATCACCAAGTCTGTCGAAATCCTATGCGTAGGACAAACAATGCCAAAAGAATTGCAAAATGCGTCAGAAATTATGTTCTCCAATCCAACCCTAACATTAAAATTATCGGCAATCAATACATTCCTAGTATTATCTAATATCAAACCAGTTAAAGTATCAAAAATAGACTGCCAGTCATTTTCCCTAAATAAACAAAATATACCAAAATATTACCGAGTTCAACACCAGATTTAACAAGTATTAAAAAGTCATCTTGATAAACAGTCACACAGGGAAAGAAAGGACGTTATTGTTAATAACCAGTCCGCGAAATGACAA